AGGTTATATTGATAATTTGGCTAAGCTGGATTGTCCTATCAGCCAAGAGTTGGCGACTGATCTCATCCTACAGTCATTGCCGTCAAGCTATGATCAGTTTGTTATGAATTACAACATGAACAACTTGACAAAGACTTTGACTGAGCTGCATGGGATGCTTAAAACAGCTGAACCTAACATCAAGAAGGATACTCCAAATGTTCTTATGGTACAAGGGGGTAACAAGTTTAAGAAACAAGGTAAGAACAAAGGAAAGGGTAAGCCAGGCTGGAATGCGAATCCAAGCAAGCTTGATCCTTCTCCTAAGTTTAAGCCTGGTCCTTCTAATGTTGATAAGTGCCATTATTGTAATGGTTCTGGAGATTGGAAAAGAAACTGTGAAAAATACTTGGAAGATCTGAAAAAGAAGAAGATTTCTGAAACGTCATCTTCAGGTATTTATGTTATAAAAGTAAATGTTACTATTTATGATTCTATTTCTTTGGTATTTGATACCAATTGTGGTACTCATATTTGTAGAAATATGCAGGGCCTAAAGAACAATAGAGTCTTGGAGAAAGGACAAGTGGACCTTCGCGTGGAAAATGAAGCAAGAGTTGCTGCATTAGCGTTAGGAATATTTCATTTGTTTTTTTTTGTCTTCTTGCATGGCTTTGGAAACTAAGAATTGCTACTATGTACCTGCTATAAGCAGAAATATTATTCAATTGTTTGGATTTGAAAGGTTTTCATTTTTGATTAAAAGACAAGTGTTGTTTATTTGATCTTTGTGATATCTTTTATAGTTGAGGTCTATTAGAGAATGGACTTTATATTCTAAACCAAAGCGTGCATGCTTATAACATAAGTACTATAAGATTCAAGTCTTATGACACAAATCAAATTTTCTTTAACATTGTCGTTTGGGCCACATAAGTGAGAAGCACATCAAAAGCCTCATGGTGATGGACTTTTGAGCTCATTTGATTATGAATCATATGAGAAATGTGAATCTTACTTAAGGTAAAATGACTAAGGCTTCTCTTACTGGACATAGTGAAAGAGATAAAAGACTTGTTGGAATTATACATACTGATGTATGTGGACCAATGAGTATAAATGTTAAAGGAAATTATCCGTACTTCATGGTTATGTTTATCTAGAAACATAAGTCTGAATCTTTTGAAAAGTTCAAAAAATTTTCAGAATAAAGTACAAAATAAACTTGACAAGAAAATTAAAGCTATTCGATCTGATCGAAGTGGAAATATTTGAGTCAAGCGTCTAATGACCATCTTAGAAAATGTGGAATTCTTTCACAACTCACTTCTCCAGGAACACGACAGTCGAATGGTGTGTATTTGAAAGGAGAAACCAAACTTTATTAGATATCGTTTGGTCAATGATGAGTCATACATATCTTCCATTATCCTTTTGGGGATACACTTTAGAAAAATCTGTGTTTACTTTTAAAACCCCACTGAGAACAAAGTGTTTGTTGATTGTAGTGGTGTTTGTCTAGAAAGAGAATTTCTTTCCAAGAAGAACAGTGGGAGTAAAATACAGCTCGAAGGAGTTCGAGAAATTCAGGAAGTTCTTATAGTAAAAGACATGGAAATGGCTACACATATACTTGGAATAAGAATCTATAAATATAGATCAAGTCTGTTGAATTATGTAAAGATACTTATATCGATAAGGTCTTGCATAGATTCAAAATCGTGATTCCAAGAAGGGCTTCTTTCCAATATCTCATGGCATAACTCTTAGCCTTCAAAACATGATGAGCGAGAGCGGATGAACAGAATCCCATATGCTTTGGATATAGGATCTATCATGTATGCCATGACGAGTCGATACCAATCTGTTCCAGGTGAAAGTCACTGGACAACAATCAAGATTATCCTCAAGTATTTAAGAAATACTAAAGATAAATTCTTGATCTATGGAAGAAGTGATGAACTTGTTGTGAGTGGTTACACTAATGCCAGCTTTCAGACGGACAAAGATGGTTTCCGATCACAGTCTGGTTTCATCTTTTGTCTTAATGGAAGAGCATTGAGCTGGAAAGGTTCCAAGAAAAACACCGTAGAAGAGTCTCAACGGATGCAAATGTTGCTGAGCCATTGACCAAGCCTCTTCCATAACCTAAGCATGAGAGTCATGCTGCAGTTGTGGTCATTAAGTATATTAAGATGTGATCTTGATTTTAGTGGGAGATTTTACGTTTATGATATGATGTTCATATTGACATACATTTGATTATGTATTCAAACTAATGAAATTGTTTCAGATTTATTTTATTATTAGATAATTAAAATAAATGTCCCAAAATAATTTACATCATTCTTATAAGTCATCAAGTATGTGACTTGATCATGAAACCTTATAAGTGAAAGATGATATAAATTATTATAAGTGAAAGATGATATAAATTATTGAGGTCCCTAGTCAAGGTTATTAACATGGGGCATTAATCACCGAGAATGACTAGTATGTGAGGTGATTGATGACTAAGTTTTATGGAGTCATTCAATATGTTGTATTGAAGTCAATCACATGGATATGTGTTAGAGAACACATGATCGGGCTGACCCGCTAATGAGAACTCTGCAAGATTGTTATATGAGTGTCATAAGAGTTTCTCATTACGACTATAGAGTATAGTCCTTAGACCTGAGTTCGTCATGATTCTTTACTTGTGGATTAGTTCACTTTGACCTTGTCAAACGTCAGCCGTAATTGGTGATTATAAAGGCATTGATTAGGTGTTCTATGAAGTTTGTAAGGAGCAGGGATGGAACAAGATGGGATTTGTCCCTCCCATAGAACGGGAGATAAATATCTCAAGGCCTATCGAAGATTTGATACTGAAAAATGCATGGCCGTGCTCAAACGAGGTGAATGTCAGTCGTTTGTTTGATCAGTATAAATCAGAGTTCGATAAATGTGACCTAGCTTAATAAGGATGCCACTAGCTCTTGCCTTATGCTGAGATCGAGATATAGAGATAAAAGGATTATAAGAATAGATGATTCTAGTACAAGTGGGAGATTGTTGGGAATGTCCTAAAATCATTTGTACTTACTCTTGTTTAAGTCGAAACGTCGAGATTTGACAATCATATAAAGTTAGTTGGTTATAATGTTTTGCTAGAAACCGCTTATAATCTATAGATTGAGAATCTATTACTAATTTTATATGATCCTATAGGGTCACACACCTAAACAAATTGGATCAAAGATAATGAGTTCTAGGAATAATATATATATATATGATATATATTATAAGATATACATAAAGATGTATATACATGATAATGATAAGTAATTATCATTGACCAAAGTGATTGTCACGTGCATGCATGGGCCTGGCCCTTTAATGAATTAGGTTAATCACTTGTTCATTATATAAACATGTACGGTGATGGTTTTGTGAGATTATCACATCTCACGTAAACCCTAGAAGCTATAGAGACAAAGCGTTTGTCAAAGTTTTAAGATCTGATCTTGACGGCACTAGCATCCCGTTCCGATCCAGTTTGTGTGCGTGTGGATATCGGTAGAGGTATGACAATTGGAGTGCTCAAAATCTCGACTTGGTGTATTCATTTTTCCGCTGCGAATAACCAAGTATATTCGAAACCCTAAAGATCTAGATTTATTTCAGTATTAACATGAGATTCTAGGCTAATAAAATTCATAGGTTGTTTTATAAATCGTTATAAACCGGTATGAATTCCTACACGGTCGTCGATGAAATGAAGGCCTAGAAACGAATAATTAACAAATCAAACAAAAAGAACAAATTGTGAGGATGATGGATACTTACCTTTTTGAAATCGTGTCTGATGTGAGTCGATTGGATAGAGAAACAGAAATGGGAAAAAGAGAGAGAGAGCAAAGGGCAATCGATCCGTCAAAGCAAACTCAGAAAAGGGGGAAGGGGATTAGGGCTACAGAGTCGGCGATGAGAGACGTCGATGTGGATAGCTCCAAAAGACTTTGTTAAGAACTTTTAATAGTAACTAGATTTTGACCCGCACTTGAAAGCGTGAAATTTTTTTATGATTAAAAATTTATATAATTGAGTTTTGTTTTAGTTTAAAGAATATTTTGATATAAAATCAGTTCACCAAAATTTGTGGTGATGATTATTTTTCATTATTTTTTAGTTTCAGTTTTTATTTTTAGATTTTGGTTTTTGGTTTTTAGTTTTTAAGTTTCTACTTTTCATTTTCAGTTTTTGGTTTGGGGTTTTAATTTTTAAACCCGCTGAGTTAGTTTGAACTAATGTTACCAACAAACAAATCTCAAATAATCGAACATCTAATTCAAAACTGAAAAGATGACAACAAATTTAAAAAAAAAAATTTGAAATAGTTTATTTTGTAAATAAACAAAACAAAAAAATATAACATGTGTTTTCAGCTTTTGGTTTTGGATTTTAGTTTTTAGATTTGGTTTTTGGTTTTGCTTTACATTTTTTTAATCAGTAAATTATTTAAGAAAAATAAAACAATAAATTATTTAAAAGTTACCATTGAAATTTATCAAAACAAAGTGATTGTTATTTAAAATAAAAAAAATATATTAACATGTTTTAAAGTACATGATTTAAATAAATGATTAATAATAGATAATTTTGTTTTGTTAAAAAATATTAAATACCTTTTGGGTCTGAAAATAATAATTGATTTTTTGATCTTTTATGGTGAAAAGTTTATTCAATGTTTTTAGAGTTTTTTTCTTAATACTAAGCCCAAAAACCAAACTATATAATTTGTTCAAAAAATAAAAGTAATCGCAAGACTATATTCCATAAATAACCACTGGTTTAATTTAAATATAATTAGTAGATTTTCATATTCCATATTTTGATGATATATATTCTTTTAGAATATTCCATATTTGTAGAAAAAATATGTGTTTTTGGTATACACATAGATACCTGTCATATTTTGAAGGTAGTTTACATTAAGGTCGCCTATTTACATTAATTGTGTTGATTTAATTTACGTAATACGGTTCAATCAATTATATGACTTATATTATTTGTAACATTCTAGAAAGAGTCCAAATTTAAATGACAACTTGTATCAGTAGATAAAAAGAATGACTCTATTTTAATAGAGTAGATAATAGATTATTGTATTTAATTTATCATTAGTGTAACTAATCGATTAGTAATGTTAAGACCTAATTGATATAATCAACACAATACACAAGAGTCTCTCCTGGTGTTGATTGCTGAGAAAACGACATGTCACTAACTGAAAGAACATTAAAAACCAATTAGAACAATTGGTTTCTCCACATCATTGCCATTGTACAAACTCGACTTGGGAGTTTTCTTACAGTCTGTGACAAAGAGAAGTGATAGAGATAGGTAAAGCCTAATCCAAGTCTTGATCCGAGAGAGATTACAGATACGGCTCCGATCATCTGGCATAGATTCCGCCTTCTCTTTTTGTCGAATTTGTTCTTGGGATATTCATTCCCTAATTGATAGATTAACAAAAAAAAAGGGGGGGGGGGGGGGGGTTGTTGGAATTGATCTTTGCTACTGCTTGCACTATATTTGATTATGTTCATACATGAAGCTAGATATTAGAATTGACAGAACAGTTGAACCCATGTTCTGTCTTCATGGCTGCATACATGTATGTTGATAGTCTTTATTCCTTTTCCATGCAAGATAAACTTTGGAGAAGGCTATGATATGCTTTTTTTCTTTTGCCGATATGTAGATCCATAGGAGACGTGTGTCTTAAGAAGGCGGAGTTCATGAGGGCTAATCTTGATGTACACAATGTATAGACTCCGTGAGCTGATAGGAAGGCTAAACAGAGCATGAGATCTTCAGTTTCTGATATTTGCTTCAGACGGGACTATGGGAACATGTAGAAGCTGTTGACATCGTTCATAACCACCCACGAAACGTGTGCGTTAGACCCATTTTCCCCCAAGTAAAGAACTTATTACAAAATCAAATATTGAGCCTGACATATGGTGTGTGAATGAACGCAGGGGATAGCATATAGACTGGTGCAGCAAATAAGAGATAAATGATATCTACTGATCTGAACAAGGTTGTACTCTGATAGATTTTAGTAATCTGTAACTAACAACTCTGTAACTTCCTCTATTAATATGAGAACGACGATTACAGCTTGAATAAGAAACGGACTAAGCTCTCATAACGAACTTAGCTTGAATCACTCGATCTCATAGCGATCGAGAAGTCTAGACTCATGACGTCTAAAACAATCAACATCAAGCATGAAAAGTCTCCGAAGTTACAACCACTGTATTTAACTTCTTGAATCAGCTTCAACGGCTCCTAACGGAAAACCTTCTTGCTGATTCCAAAGCTTCTCCCTTGTTCTTTTAATCCAAAGACTCTGTTCGAGACAGAGGCTTTCCCACTTCTTTATTCAAATCGCCTTTTCCCTCCTTATTCTTCCGATAGTACACTCTCTTATACCTATCATACTCTGCTTATAATATTGTTCCCTAAAAATTTCGTGCTAATCTCTTGGCCGTTTTCTGTTTGATTGTGACATTCACAGACATTATAATAAAGAAGAGAAACAATGTTATGGATACTGATATAGGGAGAGGGTGACTTTGTTCTCTTGTAGATTTGGTTGCTATCTGCATAATGGGACAGCAAGAGACCGATATGTTCATGGTGTGAAGTGGAAAATTCTATTACATAGGAGAAATGTATGTTTCATCCAGGTTATGATGACCTTCTTCTTCAGTTTCCCATTCGAACGAAGAAGCCAACTTCTCATGTTATGGCTAACTGTGCAATGTGCACGTGTTCACTTTGTAATTTCACTGCATGTAGTAAGTGGATGATCTTCCTACTCTGTTTCGATGTCTGTGTAGCTTTTATGAGGCTTAGAATGATTCTTACCAATAATTGGTTCTATTTTCATATTCAAGGTGTCTCTGGTTTAAAGGTACTGAGATATGGGAAGTTGCTGCCTAATAGCTCAGCTTCAAGACCTTCCTCAAAGGGGTTGAAAGAGTTGAAAGCACATCATATAAGTATGACATTGTAGTTGTACATGTCCAAGTATTGTGGTACTACAGTTTTCTTAATATTCTCAACACCTGAACTTAAAAACAATGGCTTCTGAAATTTTCTCGACATCTTAAGCTAAGGCTGGTTCCTCTGTTTTATGACAAAAATAGTTTGCTTCTTTTTCCTAGTGACCAGTTAACATATTTAACAGAGACTCGAGCAATATTGGCATGTAGAACGATGGATCACTATGCAATAGTGGTGTATTGAAGGTTTAGGTTGGACTTTTAATATCGTGCCCAATGACTATGCTTTTGCAGTAAAGAAGGTTGATGTTGCTTGAGTCGTTATCTATGGAAAACATATCTTGTAAGTAATTTTTTTTTGGTAAAAAAACAAATAAAAGAAATTTCAAAAGCAGTATACACACAAGTTAATATTCAAATTAGACTATATATGAGACTTGATGCCAAATACAAAATAATAAAACATGTACTTGATATTATGAAAGTACATATTTACTTTTATTTAAGTTTTAGTTTTATCCATTTTAAATATATATGTTCAAAAATTTATACTAAATCAAATATATTCTAATTTTTATTTGAAATATTAATTTACATTAGTCTTTATTCTGAAAATATGATACTAAATACAGTATGAATCCCTGTAATTATGTTTGTTATTATGTGATCAATACAAAAGCAATCAATATAATTATACTATTCTCAATTGATGTCAAGGTGGTTATAAGTAGAATATAACTGTTTCCTTAACAATTACTATATCAAGGTGAATGAATCCATATAATTACGCTTTTATTAGGGTCACAATATAAAAGGATTTAATTAGTAGAATTATATTGTATAGTATTTCCTTAAATATAGTATATTTTCAACATTTAATTTTTGTCATTTGACAATAATACCCTTTGACAATAATACCCTTTGATAAACAATATAAATATGTTAATCTGCTAACCTAAATTCATTAGTGTCGGATACTTTGTCTCCCAGACGTTTCTTTGTTGAGATCTAAAGTAATTAAAAACAAAATGGTTATCTTTTTCTGTGGATAATACTTGTTAAGTTTTTTGGTTTTGCTTAGAATTAATTTTGTTTGTTAAGATTTTCTTTTTTTTGCTCCAAAATTTTCAATCTCCCTTCTCTTTTTTTTTTGACAAATTTCATAATTTCATGTAGACCTGAAACTTATTATCTAAGATCCGGATTTAATCCGAGATTCAATCCGGTTCCGTTCTAAAAATCCAGATATCTAGAAGGATTACATCCGAATCCGGATGGTAAAATGTTGAATTTGTCAAAACCAAATTCCGATCTGGATATCTTAATTTTTTAGTCCGAATATCCGGATCCGTAACTTTTATTGATAATTGTTTCAAAATAGTAATATATATATATATATATATATATATATATATATATAATCATTTTATTTATTATATATTCATTTCTGTAAAAAATATAGAAACTTTTATATAATTTTTGTAATAGTATACATAGAAGTAATTAAAAATATTATATAAAATTTATTTTAGATTCTTCTTAATATTTTATATATTTTAACATTAATTTTATTTATTTTAAGATCTAAATCCAGATCCGGATATCCATCGGATATAACAATTTTTAGAAATATATCCGAAACTTGGATATCAGAGAACTCCATAATAAAAAATATAGATCCGATCCGGATTTCCGATATGTTGCAAAGATTTAACTGGGCACCGTTGGGACAAGCCTATTCCCCGATTTAATTGGGCACTGTTGGGCCATGATTCACTAGGCCTGTAGTCTATATAAAAGGAAAATCGAATGCTCTTCCTTCTCTAGCAAGAAGAGAACCCTCCCGCTCAGTAAACTCGAACCGCCATGGATCACGAGCAAGAAGTACTTCGATATGCCTTACTATTATTATTATGCTTGACAGTGCGATTAATTCTGATATAGCGTTCTTATGATTCTCTGAGTTGATTCTGATTCTCCGATTCCAAGCAATCTTAAGGGATTATGCTTCTTTTTATCAACTATCGATCGGATTTTGAATTAGGTTGTGCTGATTCTGTTTCTCAAATTATGTGTTTGGATTGATTGATATTTGCTATATTTTTGAGTCAACATGCGACGTCTTGATTGCGGTTGATTCTGATTTAGCATTCTTCTTCGTCATTCTAATTACGATGAGGATACGTTGATTATGTTTCAGCATTCTTCTTGTCATCGGTCGTTTCTCAAAGTATGCATTTCGTTTGCTTCTTATTTTGTTGTCTTCATTTCAAAGAGTCGACCCAAGAGTTGCGTGTGAAGATTGCACAAACTTGTTCTCTGATTCTAGGAGTATCACAGAGCTCAGTTGTCAACATGCTGGTCAAATATTTATGGGATTCGGATCTTCTTGCTTCTGACTACAAGCAAATGCCGTCACTTCAGGCTGGTTTTGAAAACTGCGGCATTAGAGGGTCTCCAGCCACTAAAATTTACTCTTGTTGTTTGCTCTGTGGAACTGTATCATCTTGTTGATACCACAACTGTGGTCATGAGGTTTGTCTGCAGTGTCTCACTGGTATGTCGTCATTCTTTATTCTTTCTTTTCTTTGTTGTGATTGTTTTGTTTTGTACAAACAATGTACAAGCAATATCTATCTGTTTATCTTTCAAGATTATGTGTGTGGACTGTTGTGTGAAAACAACAGCTTGGTTCCCAAACGCCCTTTACCTAATTGTGAGATGTGCTTCAGTTTTGAAAGTCTCCCACAAGGTGTACAAAAAGAGTACCTTGTCGCTTTGCAATGTGATTTTTTTCAACATAAGAAGTCTTCTGAAAGTGGTTAGTCTTGATATTGTGATTAGTCTGAGTTTGATTGGTTAACTGATTCAGCATGTTTTATGTTTCAGTTCTCTCTTTTGCCTGGAGACACAAACGAGTGTTGGGCACAAGCTTATCCTTGGCGTATTTGGCTTACCTCGCTTTCTCTTGTAGAAAGAATATTGAATATGCTCTGAAACTTGTTAGTCTTCGGTCTCAAGTCAAGACTCATCTTTCATCCTTGAAGACTCAAGTTTCATCATTGATGATGTTCTTTTCTTCTTGACTTTCATTAAAAGGACGATTGGCAACACGTCTACGGGGACGTTTCAGAGAAACTGCTAAGGGTCAACGCCCATCATAGCATTTTCCCCTATCTCGCACACGTGTGACGAATAAGCATAACTGCTATTTACATTCCTGCGTTGTAACGCTGCATAACCAAGAGTTTGACATCAAGATTATTTACAAAAATCAATAAAATAAAATGTTTTTAAGTTTTGTAATTTTTGGTGTAACTGTTTTTCAGTTTCAGTCAAAATCAACAATAAATATTATAATATGCTTTGAATATTCTTATATTCAGATTTAAATTAACTATTTAAAAATTAAACTTTCAAACCTTAAAATATTTTGTTAACAAAACCATACTTTCTCCATTTTTTTTATATTTAATGTTTTAAAGAATTTGTTTGTTTTAGATTATTTGACATTTTCAATTTGAGCAAATCTCAAAATAGCACATTTCTAAGTTTATGTCACAAAATAGCACTCAAAAACTAAAATAACTAAAAGACCATTTTATCTTTTAATTTTGGTTGAATTGTGATTAGGTAAACAATTAACGATGTTTTTGTTTAAAATGGCAATAATTAAATATTTTTAATATATACGTATAATCCTAAAACGTCAACTATAAAAAAAAGAAAAAACATATTTTATGTTATAATATATTTTCTATATTCCTTAATTGAAGGAATCTCTATAAATACGTACTAGCATATAAATTTTGTTTCGCTTTCTAATAATTGTGATGATTTTTATGGTCAGTTTTTTTTTTTAAGTTTTCTAATAATTATAAATTAAGATTGTTTCTTACTTTTTATTTTATGTTTTTTTAATAAGTAATGGAGAATAATTTATTGAAATTTTATGTGTTACTAATTAAATATTTTATTTACAATTGATAAATAGTTCGAATTTAAATTTTTCATTTTTTTTTAATTTTTTAATAATTCTAATGTCGTTCTGTATTTTGTAATAGTTTTTTAATTATAAATAAATTAACTTAAATATTTTTTTTAATAAAATCATGAAAATATATTTTTCTTAGCCTTGTTCAAAGCTTACAGCTCACGTTCACAGCTATCCGCTCCTGCTTCAGCTGCTTTCAGCTGCCCCTCCCTTCTCCGCTTTGCCAATCACGCACTAAGAAGAAAAGGTTCTTTCTCATTAACTTTTCATCCGTTCTTTTTGTTTTGAATGTGTAGTCATTGTTTCTTTCTTCCATAACTGTGAATCTTTGTCTATCACATCCCAGTGTTGATGTAGCTCGTAACATCTTGTGAATGCTCAATCATTTCATTATGTCAGTGAGGATCAAAAATATTTTTGACATATAATATTAAAGAAATTAATTTAGTCACATAAAATATTTTGAGAGTACAAAATTTTAAACAAATTTTTTTTCTAATATTCATATAAAACTAGTGTTTAGAATTAAATTATTAATATGATGTTACATTATAAAATAAATAAATAAATAAAAATAGGTTGTGAATATATGATTAGTACAATTTCATCAAAAATAAATTTCAATATATATACAATTTTCAAAATAATATTTTTTACATAATCAAAAATAATTATAATATATATATATATATATATATATATATATATATTTATACTTTATTTATATTTTATATTATTATTTTAAAAACAAAAATATATGTACGGACCTGCTGGTTGAGCTCTAGTATTTGATTATGACTCAATAGATTCAGTTTGTGTGCATGTCCATACATGAAGCTAGATATTAGAATTGACAGAACAACTGAACCTAATTGGAACTTCATAGAAGAAAACCCAAACCCCGATGATCTTCATAGTTGCGGATGTGGTGGAAAAAATACTTGTTAGGCTGCCCTTGAAATCAATTCACAGATTCAAAACCGTGTCGAGGGAATGGAGATCATATAAAACTAGTGTTTAGAATTAAATTATTAATATGATGTTACATTATAAAATAAATAAATAAATAAAAATAGGTTGTGAATATATGATTAGTACAATTTCATCAAAAATAAATTTCAATATATATACAATTTTCAAAATAATATTTTTTTACATAATAAAAAATAATTATAATATATATATATATATATATATATTTATACTTTATTTATATTTTATATTATTATTTTAAAAACAAAAATATATGTACGGACCTGCTGGTTGAGCTCTAGTATTTGATTATGACTCAATAGATTCAGTTTGTGTGCATGTCCATACATGAAGCTAGATATTAGAATTGACAGAACAACTGAACCTAATCGGAACTTCATAGAAGAAAACCCAAACCCCGATGATCTTCATAGTTACGGATGTGGTGGAAAAAATACTTGTTAGGCTGCCCTTGAAATCAATTCACAGATTCAAAACCGTGTCGAGGGAATGGAGATCAACACTCGAGTCGAGGAGGTTTGCAGAGAGGCATAAGAAGAGTGTTCCAAAGAAGAGGAAAATCCTGGCTGTCGGAACTCAGGCCCAATCGCAGTTCCAAGGAGACACAGAGATCGAGATGGTTTACGTACAACAGTGTGAATGTGATGATGCCACACTACTTTCTTCGTTGACATGTGACAGTATAGTTTGCATCCCGGAACCGAATTGGGTCAGCGTTTTGAATCCTTCGACCGAAGAATTTCTTAGTTTCTGTAGCGGCCCCTTCCACTATTTGGACGACAGGTTTACCGGTAAAATTATTAATTCTATATTAAATTCTTTTTCGTTTTGGGTTTTTTTGAAACGATGATTACAATAGTACATGGCAGGTTGGAGCACATTCAATATGAACACGGCGATGGGATTCGGTAGGGACGAAGTTAGCGGGAACTTTTGTTGTTTGATGATAAAAATTACCAGATTCTTGATGTTAACATTAGCGAATGGCGGAAACTGGTCCCGCCTCCCTACAAGGTTGAAACGAGAAAGAATTCCGCGTGTGTAAAGGGATCTATCTACTGGTTAGACTTTTTTGATACATTTAAGATACTAGCTTTGGATCTTCACACTGAAGAGTTTCGGGATGTCCAGCTAGTTCCTCCCCCTATGCACTCGTCCACAGCTCAGATTGTGAATCTTGATGACCGTCTAGCCATAGCTGACACCTGTGCTTTAAAACCTGGATGGGATCTAGAGATATGGATCAGAGATGCACAAGAAGAAACATGGACTATATATGACTTACTCCATAACTTTAGCCCATAGATTTATTTTAATGCGCAGTAGATTTATGAAGGAATACTATACGATCTTCATCCACTTGGCTGTTATAATATACAGAGTTGCCTTGTTTCTATTCAGTACTGGGTTCTGTTAGGAAGGAAAGATGGTAAAAATAACACAGCCTATGCGTACTGCTGCTGTGACTATCGTTAAAAGTGAAGTTGGCAATACATGATCAGAAGTACAAACAAAAAGAAGAGATGAGATTGGTGGTGCATTACTACACTGAATTATGTGTATGTGTGTGTTGGTTTTGTGGTAGGGGGGGGGACACACTACTCTCATCGACGGATAAATAGCTAGAGCACGAAGAGATAGACCATAAACCAAATACCATAAACAAGTGTGCTTTTAGTTTCCTCTCAGTTTCTCTCACTCTTCCTCCATGCAGACTTGTTTGAGAAGTTAGTTAACTTTTCTGAAATGAAACATTAACTTTCAAATGTGTTTGCAAACAATATTTACTACTTACTGTAAACTTTTGTGATTATTCTGTAGGACATCCGAAACATTATTGGGTGTCTTAAGTTTCCTCGAAACTAACAAAGAGATCACAAAATTTAGACTGAACGTTTTTGGTGAACAAAATGTTGAATGTCAGTGTGGCAGAGAAAGCGTATAGCGACAAACACTCCCTTGTTCGCGTTACACAGTAACGGTAATTTTGAATTTTGCCGAAAACCATGGGAACAAACACTCCCTTGTTCGCGTTACACAGTAACGGTAATTTTGAATTTTGCCGAAAACCATGGGAACGCTAGTTTTTTTTCTAGTCCCTTTTCTTTATATTGAGTAAAAAACAACCATTTCACCAAACGTTATAGTAAGGGGATGTTCGTTTCTCCATCTGTCATCTCCATCCAGCTGTTCATCCAGATGATTCATCCAGATTTTAAGAACTTTTTGTTTTTCCATCCAGATGAACTATCTAGATGAGCCATCTAGATAGATTTTATGTTCGTTTATTTTTTCTATTTCCATCAAGATGAGTTTAATAAACAAATTACAAATATTTTTTTACCTAATCATATGTTACATATTAATTTTAACTAAGTTTTATTATTTAGTCTAATATATATATATATATATATATATATATATATATATATATATACTAGGGGGGGGGGCACCGCTACGAGCCGGATTTCTATTGTAAAATCTAATTTTTAACGTAAGTATGTATGTGTTTTTTACACCAATTTGCAATACAAAATCTAAAGAAAAGATGAAGTGACGTATCAAAAACTTATAGTAATAAACATGATGTATGAACTGAAGAGGACATGGAGACGAAAGAACTGTAAATGTACAATATCACTTTCTGATAACTCTTTTGAGTTTGTGAACATTCACAAATAATTAAAGCACTTGACGTGTCATGCCAAAATCAGCTTTTGAATTATTCGATGTGGAAACTGCAAGATCCCATGTCTCTGGCAAACTACAAACAGTGACGAACGACTTTGGACGCCACTGGTATTGGATAAGTGCGATGGCTATACCATCATTGTTCACACGTGCCTTCACTGTGGTTAATGGGGCAATTACTTTCTGACTATATTCAGTTTATACTCTGTTAAAGTTGGATGCATCCTTATGACCAACAAACCTTAAAGAAGTAGGGTCTGAAATGAGAAAGAAAACCTAGATAGCGGCTGCTAGAATCTTCCATGTAGCCTTCTTGGATTAGCTTAAAAACTGATGTCATCTGGTTGGCTTCACCATCCAACATGTTGTGAAGCTCTATAATGATCAGTGGTTACATATTGCATCTAATGGTACAAAGCGTAACAAAAAATAAGTGAATCAATAATGCACTTTAGCACCATCTTTATATATCTATCCTTTTTGCTTGTGTATTAAACCTAGTAAGAGGCTAGAGTCTCACACTTTCATGTACATGTAGTCTTAAGGAGTTGTAGCACTCCCTTTTTTTGGAGCAGCTTTAGTACTTTACCATCACATCCATGTTTCACAAACTTGAATTCGCTTCATGGTGTATATTAGGGTTTAGTTGATGGTGAAGATAAACATAAAACAAAGAGATTTAAAATTAAATCAGTAGAAAATGATTTATTATATACCTCGTTTGTGTTTTTGATGTATGCATCCTACCTTGTTCTAGAAAGAACACGGTTTTTGTCCAGCTGGTCCATGATTTCTGAAAGTTAGGAAGTGATCAGTTAAATGAGGAAGATAGATTCTCAAGTTGTATATTTCATCTTAGAAGCTTCAAGGGTCTTCTTTTGTGAGTAACTTTCATTAAAACTTGATTTACCTACAAGCAGTGAAATAATAAATAGGGTGTCTTAAAACGGTATGAAATTTAATATGCAAGAATTTGGTTATGTTTTCAAAGGGGTAAAGGAAAAAGAAGAACACATTACTACTGAGATATCTGGAAAGTTTGAATTTGCGGGAGCTGATCCAGTCCATAACGCTTCTTAACTGCTGGTGAGTCTCAAGCGAATCCTTTTTGTGGAGATATTTATAGTATGAGTTTTTCCTGGTTACTCTAGGGAGGGGATAAACTCAATTGAATGCTTAAGAGTGGGGAGAGTGAGTCAATGCGACCTCGAGACGTTACAGAGAAGCGATCGTCTGACTTTGGTCTCTATAACTTACGTCGGATGTGGACGAATGTGCAACGAAGACAATTCACTGGGCCTCTTAACAAAACATATTAAACATTGTGTAGAAGACCAAACCCGTTTAAATTTTTTTACAAATGTCTATAGAAGCTCAAAATCCATTAAAAAATCAACGAATAAATTAAAATGTAACAAGTGTATTAATATGCCTTGTGATATTAGCTCTTTCAATTTATATATATATATATATATATATATATATATATATTACTAATTAGTGAAAATTTAAAATATTTTTTTAATATATTGTATTTATGGTTTAACAACATGTAATTATGTAACGAACAAATATTAAAATATACAAAATATTTTTCACACATTTGATTGTTATTACAAACACAAAAAAAAACTCAATGAATTACATGTAACTATTACAAAATATATCATTTAGTATAAACCTAAAAATTAGAAGAAAACAAAACACTCGCCCGGTCGGGCGGGTCATGGTCTAGTTTTAGTTTATTTCTCTTATCAAACGAATGGCTTCTCTGTAGCCACGGACACCCACACTTCAACCCTAATTTTTTTTTCTTCAACCCTAAGTTTACTATCCGCTACTTCTTAAAAAGTTCCTGAATCTCTGAAATTAAATAACTAACTAAATAAAAACTAATATTTTATTAAATATTAAATTACTTTATAAAATATTTAATATATACGAAATATGAATGGACCATCATGACTTACAATCTATGTTCTACTTCTATGTTGTAAACAATTTAATTTAATAATTTTAAATTTACATAATTTAGAATTGTTAATAATAACATGATTTCAATTTTTTTTTATCAAATTAAGTCTTTTAGAAATTTTATAACTAATTTTACGAACAAATATATAAGTAAATTTATTAAGAAGTTTTGTCCAGAGAAGACTTCTAGAGATATAATCATCAAAATGTTTACATGTTTTTGTTTGATGATAAATGACTGGTTTTAGTTTCACTACATTTTTTTTTGGGATTTTTTTCCCTGTTTCATTTGGTTGAATTTGAACTATAGATTTACATTTAAATTCAAATTATATGAGTCATTTTTGTCTTCAGTGTTTTGTAAAAGATTTTTTTTCTGTAATTTGAAATACATTTGAAAACTATTTTAAAAGTTTTAATACTTTTTTTAAAAAATCTTAAACTCCACACCCAAAATCCCATCCTTTAATTTTAAACATTAAATCTAGATTATTTACCTTTGAAGTAAATTTCTTCTATTCATTTTTCTCTTGGAGGTTATTTTTTGTAAAAAAATAAATTAAATAGAACTATCCTAGGAAATTTATCTAGTAGTAGATCCTTTGTCCGCGCTACACGCGGATTACATTTTATAAAAAAAATTAATTATTTTTTATTTATAATTTAAATTTTTTAACAAAATATGTAATCAAAAACAGAAACATGTAGAATGTAATAGATAATTTAGTTTTTGCTTGCTGGAATTTCTACGAACAATTTCTATTTAGATTTTCTACTCTTCGTGTGCTTTATTCTAAATCAAAATAAAATTTATTTTTTAAAATGAAATTTATTTTTTAAAATAAATTCATGTTTTGTTTTATGTTTATATTTTATATGTTTAAAAATTTCATATAAATAGTAATTATAGACATTTTGGAACAATTGCTATGTTTTGTTTTATGTTTATATGAAATTTATATATGTGATAACTATGAATTTATGATTTAATATGGTCATATATTTAACTAATAATTTTTTAAAATATTAAAAAATCTTATCAAACTATGTCTTATTTTCCATTGGTCTACTTTGAAATAAATTTATTTCTTTGTCGCTTTTATTAATTCATGGAGTATTAGTTTATAGAGTTAAAATTATATATGATTAAATGTATATCACTTTTGTAAATGATTATAATGTTGTGTTCATATGTGATTGATACTGTTCATTTTACAGGTAAAAAAATTAATAAAATAATAAAGATTAATAAAAAATAATAAAAATACATAAAAAATCTAATAACATTGCAAAAAATTCAAAAATTTCAAAAAAATGTAAAAGTTCAAAAATAGAAAAATTAAAAGATTCTCTTTCATTGTATTATATAAATTAAAAGATCCTCTTTCCTTAATTAATTTGTATTGTAGCAATTGGACTATTCTATTTTTGTTAATCTTAATTCATTTGTTTTTATTTAACTTCAACAAATATTAGACACAAAAATGCGGAAAATTTTAGGTGAGTTTTCATTTTTATTTTATTTTGTTGACATGAGTTTGATGAAATGCGGAAATTCTGTTGTAAATGTATTTTCTCTTTTTAATATTTTCTTTGTTATTCAATCTGAAGTTATATTTTTGATTATATTACGTATTCTC